AAGACATCTGGGACTTTTCCAGCATGTTTCTTGCCTAAGGAAGCCTTTGTGCATTCTTAGCCAGTTTCTTGCATTCCAAGAGAGAGTGATTTGGGAAACTGAAGGTTTTAAGGCAAGTTCTTTGATGCCAGTCTGTTTCTCTGTGTAATATAACCCCTCTTCCCCCTTGGGTCTTCTTTCTCCCTTATCCACCCTCTGCGTTGGGCTCCAACTGACCTGTAATGCATCTCACACATTTTAAGTGTTGACTTTTAATAACTGCTGCATTTAGCACGGAACCCCTACCTTGGTTACAATAGAGAAATCTCCATCTTTCTGGAGAGTTCTCACGTGCCCCTTGACAGGCAGTCTCTCCTCCTCACAGGCACGGCGTCCCTTTGAATCTTTAATCCTTGAAAAATGTTCACCCTAGACGGGGTGTTTTATAACTTTAAAGTAATGGTTACTCATAGAAGGTTCTGGGAGAGCCCTACAGAAACACCAGGAAGTCCAGTCCGGCTCCAATCCCAGATAGTTCTGTAAGATTTGTCCCTGGGTAGCCGTGGTGGTTGTTGTAAGCTGGCTTGCATTGGCTGGGAGGGAGAGCTGTCATGATGTGCATAATCTCCAATTTCCCATTTGTTCAGGTTTATTTCTGCCTTGGTTAACATTTATTGCACGTAAGGACTTCTGTTAATTAACTCAGTGAATCTTCCCTACAAGGAAAGTGCTATTATTCCATATTTACGGTCAGGGGAGAATAGGAGGAAACTGAGGCACAGCCACCTGTAGCTTTGACTGTGAACAGATGATGCGAGGGCGTGTGCCTGGCGCAGCCTCCTCTGGAGCACCTGCCTGGAAGCCTGGCTCTGGCTCCCTGGGAGTCGTGGGTGACAGTTCAAGGAACTGGGTTCCTGCCACCCTCAAAGGACACTGAAATTGAGCTCCTGGCTTTGGCCCTGGCCCAGCCACACCTGTTGCAGGCATGTGGGGAGTGAACCAGCAGGTGGAATCTGTTATTCGTGTTCTCTCTCTCTTTCTGAATGAAATTAGATTCCTAATACGAAATGAAGACAAGTGAAATTAGAAGTTTCTTAAGAAAAGCATTTTCTCATCCATCGAAGTAGTCCCCAGGTTCACAAGCCGGCGATGCTCTTTCCCTACGCGATGTCCTTGCGCAGTGTCGCCCGTGGCCATGGCTGAATGCCCCCGTCCTGAATCCCACGTCTGTTTCCTGTTCCTGCCTTCAGCGCCCCCTGCCGGCCGTCCTCTGCGCGTGTTCAGGGTGATCTTTCGTACCTGCGGCTCTGGTAGCTTCGCCCTCTCGATGAGCCTTCTGGTCCCTTGCCTTGTTCGGTTGCATGTTCGCTGCCCACCCCCAGTTTGGCTGTGCCCATCCTCCCACAGTGCTGTGCTCGCTCGTGTCCCTGCATCCCTGGCTGCTGAGCGAGCTGTGACTTCTACAGGGCCTGGTGGCCCTGGTCTTCCTTCCCTAGGCACACTTCCCACCCTTGCCCCTGCTGCACAGACCTTCCGTCTGGCTTCCAGGGCCCCTCGCCTGTTACAGCCAGGGTCACGTTGTTTGCATCTTTCTCCAACTCTGCATCCCACAGGGTGGGCAGTAGCTTTGGCTTTTTCACTTTGCATTTCTAGCCTAGCTCAGTACCTGGGCTTTCTATCCACACTATGAAGGCAGAGGATGCATCCATTTCATCCACTGCTACTGTCGTAGTCCCTGGCGTAGGGTCTGGCCTGTGATAGGTGTTCAGTTAATGTTTGTTGACCGCGAGGCTGGTGCATGGTTTGATTTTTAATTTTTTTAATTTTTTTTTTTTTTTTTTTTTTGACAGGCAGAGTGGACAGTGAGAGAGAGAGACAGAGAGAAAGGTCTTCCTTTGCCATTGGTTCACCCTCCAATGGCCGCCGCGGCCGGCGCGCTGCGGCCGGCGCACCGCGCTGATCCGATGGCAGGAGCCAGGAGCCAGGTGCTTTTCCTGGTCTCCCATGGGGTGCAGGGCCCAAGCACCTGGGCCATCCTCCACTGCACTCCCTGGCCACAGCAGAGAGCTGGCCTGGAAGAGGGGCAACCGGGACAGAATCCGGCGCCCCAACCGGGACTAGAACCCGGTGTGCCGGCACCGCTAGGCGGAGGATTAGCCTAGTGAGCTGCGGCGCCGGCCTGGTGCATGGTTTGAAATGTCAGACTGTAGTGGTGTCCACCAGCATAACTGAGCCATGGCTGTATCCTACGCGGCCTCACAGAACCGTAAAGTTTCGGAAGATGCCCTCCTGTGTCGCCCTCCTGGCGTTGTGGACTTAGCCTACTTCCCTTGTGTGTGACCGCCCGGCCCTGTGACAGAGGTGCGGGGTGTGGGGAAACAGGGCCTCGGGTTTATTGTTCCAGCTGCCGTTGCCACAGACGGGGTGGTTCCACCAGCAGAAGCACATTTCTTCCCAGTCGAGGCGGCTGCAAGTCCAAGATCCACGGCTCAGCAGGGCCAGTTTCTCCCGAGGGCGCTCCGCTTGCTTTCTCATTGCGTCCTTCCACGGCCACCCCTCGGTCTGTGTCGTCTGTGTCCTAATCTCTTGCATAAGGACACCAGCCACGTTGGACTAGGGCACACCCCCAGTGACCTCTTGCAAGACCCTGCCTCCAAACACAGCCACAGATTTGAGACACAGGAGGCTGGGACTTAGACAAATGAGGCATTTATCCCATCCCAGGCAGGGACAGGCGCTCTTAGGCCCAAGGGGCTCTTCCCTGGTCTGCTGCCTGTGTTACAACATGGCAGTAAAGGGGAGCCCAGGAGCCATCAGGGAGAGCATTCTGTTCACTGAGGCACCTGCTCCCACACCTGATCTCCACGCTGCTCATGTTGACCTTGGCCTTCATGTTTCTTCCACAGTTGACATTCAGTCAAAATTCTAGGTAGAGTTTCAGTGCTTTTCAGATTGGAAAGACACACTCTTTCCTTCTGTTCCTCCGAAACTGACGTGCGGACTACTGCTAGGTTTCTTTCCAAGGGTTCAGTGGGCAGTGGGGCTAAAAGCCATATGATGACATGGTGCCGCCTCCGTTTGCTGTAAGCAAACAGCCAGGTCTTTTATTGTGCTTGATATGGGTACTCGTGATACAGGTTGGTCCCAGAGGAGCAACTCAAACGCCAAGTTACTGTGGGTCAAAGTTCCTTCAAGTGCTGCACGTTAATCAAAAACTAAACCTTGGTTAATTTGGCCACTGAGCTGGGAAGAACTTTGGAACAAGTGATTACAGAGTTGGACTGCAGGACTCAGGCAAATCCAGTGCTTTCTTACCCAGGAGGAAGGTGATCTTTCTCTGGGAGGCGCTTGTCATCATGGTCCGAGTCATTCCTTTTTTTTTTTTTTTTTAAGATTTATTTATTTGAAAGGATTATAGAGAGCAATAGATACATACACACACACACACACACACAAACACGGAAACAGGGAGGGGGAGGGAGGGAGGGAGGGAGAGAGAGAGAGAGAGAGAGAGATCTTCTATTTCCGGTTCACTCCTCATATGGCTGCAATGACAGGGGCTACGCAAGGCCAAAGGCAGGAGCCCAGAACTCCCTCCCATGTGGGTGCAGGGCCCAAGCACTTGGGCCATCCTCCACTGCCTTCCTAGGCGCATAGCAGGGAGCTGGATGGAAAGTGGAGCTTGAACCAGTACCTATATGGGATGCTGGCATTGCAAATGGCAGCTTAACCCGCTGCATCCCCACTCAGCTCCGTCCTATTCATTCCTGGTAAGGTGGTATTGTAGTCGAATCTGCTGTGTGGAACTAAGCTAATCAAAAAAATACTTAATCATGAAGCTGAATGGGTAGGGAACACATTATCTAGATAGGGGCAGAAAAGCCAGCTCTTAAGGGCTTCCATAGTTGAAGGAACATCTCAAGCATGAGTCAAAATGTTTGAAACAGTTTTGCATGTTTGGCAATTTACCTCAAAACCCACAATTTAACGTACCTCTGCAGAAAGAATTTTAAATGAATAGGATAATCCTAGCTGTCTGTTGCTGAGCGTTTTCTCTGGCCACAAGGGTTTCATATCTGCTAGGCCCATGTGGGATGAGGATGGGCAAACCAAGTGAGATGCCGGAAATCACCCAGCCTAGCAAGCAGTGGGGCTGAGCGCTGAGTGCCGGGGACACCTGCGAGCTTCCTGTTCCTGTTTCTGTGCCCCTTTGTACAAGGGCACCTCACCAGGCTCGTGGACAATGGAATTAGGAGATAGTTTTGGTGCGAAAAAATCTGAAAGCCGTGCCTAGTTTTCCCCTCCTGTGCATTTTCCATGAACTTTTTGAAGACTCTGTGTATATTTCCTTCTCTCTGTATCAGAGTAAGATTTTTTTTCCATCGACTTCCCTTTAGCTTAAATGAAACTGGATAGCCTTGCAGACCTGGCAAAAGAGTATGACCTGTTTTCTCCACTGTGTGTGGGCTTGTGGGAGCTTCCTGTTCACATAGTTTTATAGCTTTCCTTGTAATTCCATGGACACACAGAGGTGTGGCATGATAGCAAAACTGTAATTTTTTTTAAAGATTTAGTTATTTATTTGAAAGTCAGAGTTACACAGAGAGAGAAGGAGAAACAGAGAAAGAGAGAGAGAGAGGGGTCTTCTTTCAGCTGGTTCACTCTCCAATTGGGTGGAGACTCCCACAGCCGGAGCTGCACTGATCCGAAGCCAGGAGCCAGGAGCTCCCTCTGGGTCTCCTATACAGGTGCAGGGATCCAAGGACTTGGGCCATCTTCCACTGCCTTCCCAGGCCATAGCAGAGAGCTGGATCAGAAGAGGAGCAGCCGGGACTTGAAATGGCATCCATATGGGATGCCGGCACGGCGGGCGGCAGCTTTACCGCTATGCCACAGCACCAGCCCCCAAAACTGTATTTTTTCTGTGTATCCCTCTCTCCCCCTTTCCACCCCACGCCCTGTGAGCTGCGCATTCTCCTTCTTTGGGTCAGTAATGTTGCCTTTTCCATTTCGCTGTTCAGGTAACGGAGGCGTTAGAGGGACACCTTACACCAGGCCACCCAGCAGAGAGCAGCCACTGCCTGGCCCACTGAGGAGGTTCGGTGAGTTGAGACTGCGTCTTTCTCTTCAGAACGTTCAAATGAGCGTGATCCAGGGTGGGGGCAGTAGAGGAACATTCCACAGTGACATCCAAGTGCTACCCCTCCTCCCACCCCACGTTTAAACACGTCCACTGTTGTTTTTGTGTGTGCTTCATTTCCACGCTAGAGTACCCTGTAGGTCTGTAGAAAGAGAGACAGAGAGAAAGATCTTCCTTCCGTTGGTTCACCCTCCAATGACCGCTACGGCTGGTGTGCTGCACCAATCCGAAGCCAGGAGCCAGGTGCCTCCTTCTGGTCTCCCACGCAGGTGCAGGGCCCAAGCACTTGGGCCATCTTCCACTGCCGACTGGCCAGTATTACAACCCTTCCTCTGGGTTTTCAGAGTCTAATTGCCTTTTTTTTTAAAGAGTGGAATTTTCTTTTAAAGATTTATTTATTTGAGAGAGAGAGAAAGAGAGCGAGAGAGAGAACATACTTCCTCTGTTGGTTCACTCCCCAAATGGCCACAATGGCCAGGGCTGGGCCAGGCTGAAGCCAGGAGCCAGGAGCTTTGTGCTGGTTTCCCACCCGGATACAGGGGCCCAAACACATGTGCCATCTTCTGCTGCATTCGCAGGTGCATTGGCAGGGAGCTGTATCAGAAGTGGAGCAGCCGGGACTCCATCTAGGGCCCATCCAGAATGCTGGCCTCACAGATGGTGGCTTAGCGTGCTATGCCATGCCAGCCCCTACACAGACACTAAGATTTGCAAAAGCACCATGGGTGACAGTAGACCAATGCCCAAGTCAGGCAGCAGGCAGGGCTGTGTGCTATGTGCTAGGTATTTAAGACGTTTTCACAACCTTAAATAGTACTGTTGTAAACATTAATGTAAATATTTAATGTAGACATTAAATAATAAGAGTAACAAGTGGCCTGATGAAAAAGTGTAAGTAGTTAAAGGAGTTTAAGGCAAGAGGGCCTAACACGATTTTGCTGAGAGGGTAACGGTCGGAAAATGTCTTGGAATTTCAGTGCTGTTTAACTGAGAGCTGGACAATGAATGGTTTACTTGGTCGGGGGGTGGAGGCAGGTGGAGCAACTGTACAAAGCAGCCTGGGCCCGGGGCCCAACGTGGAGAGTAAAGGTTGGGTTCAGGTTGGGTTCAAGGCATAGCCTGGACCCCCCCACCCCAACCCCCACCCAAAGGAGAGGTAGGGAGAGGGTGGCTTCAGATAAATAGGCATCTCTTGTAGAATTAAGACTTAGCCACATTTTTTGAAGAATCCTTAAAACCCCTCAAAGAGATTGCTTACAAACTGATGATCTGATTTTTTTGTTTTTGTTTTTGTGGTTCAGACAGAAATCCCTCAGATCCCAAGTCCTGCTTTCCTGCTAATCCTTTGAATCCTCCCCAAATGTCTGCTCTTCCGTTCCCTCCCCTGCCTTCCGCAGGGAGGCGGTCAGCTTAGAGTCCAGCTTGTTTTGCCCAACAGATGTGTCCACTTCTCCTCCTTTGATGGCACCAGGGAGAGGTGATTGTTGGCATAGGCGGTGTATGGTTCTTCCAAAATAGGTGGTTTAAATAGAAACCAACAGAGGCTGGCTGCTTGAGCTAGCTGTGCGACCCTGATTTGGATTTGGGGCCATTGTGAGAATCTCAGGTTTTAAAGCTTAGTGCTCTGTGCTGATGCTGTCTATACTGTTGAGCTGGGGCGCTTGGGCCACTGACAAAATTGATAGATTCAGAAATGCATACATGTACAAGATATCTTCCAAAAATTCATGGACAATGCATAGTATGAAAAAACTGCAGATTCCATTTTTTTTTCCCACCAAAATAAACTTCTTAATTCCATTTTGCATGAACTTTTTGAAGTACCCTACCCATCCCCCAACGCATACACACATCCCACTAGGAATGCTGTTTCCACCCAATTGGCCATCTCAAGCTTACTGGTTTCCTAGTCATGAGTGAATTTGATGGGGTCATTTTCTGAAAAGTCTCTTGAATTTAGGGGTGATCATAACTAGACAAACCCTTTTCACAGGCCTATGTATGTATAATTTAATTTTTTTTGCCTCAGTCTAAGATGAGATTGGTCACTTTTCTCTTTATCAAAGGAAAGACATTTTCTGGCCATGACCAGTAAAAAGAAATTTGAGCTTTTAGTATGGACCTTAGGGCACCTCTTTGGCCACCCCTCTAACACAGTTGACATCCGGGTCATTACCTGATTTTCCTGAAGCCATCAGAAGTGTGTGTTCCCCTGTGACCGTGTGGGCACTGGAAGGCAGGTGGTAGAAATCTCTTGGAAATGTGAAGGGGAAAAGTCAGAGTTCCCTGCGCCCTTGGGGACTTTGAGTAAAACAACATTCGGAGTCTTACTAACCATAGCCTAGATTTCCATTCTAATGAGCTGACACATTGAAAGCTGGCTATCGTTTAACCTACAAGTTGAAAATGGGTTGAATTGGAGCTCATTCAGTGAGTTCACAGATCTCTTAGAAAGAAATTTTTCTTTTTTTTTCTTTTTTTCTCTTTTTTTTTAGTGCAAAATGTTTTGACTTTTATTTAATGAATATAAATTTCCAAAGTACAGAATATTGATTACAATGACTTCCCCCCCCATAACGTCCCTCCAACCCGCAACCCTCCCCTTATCCACTCCCTCTCCCCTTCCATTCATGTCAAGATTCATTTTCGATTCTCTTTATATACAGAAGATCAGTTTAGCATATATTAAGTCAAGATTTCAACAGTTTGCTCCCACACAGAAACATAAAGTGAAAAATACTGTTTGAGTACTAGTTATAGCATTAAATCTCAATGTACAGCACACTAAGGACAAAGATCCTACATGAGGAGTAAGTGCACAGTGACTCCTGTTGTTGACTTAACAAATTGACACTCTTGTTTATGGCATCAGTAATCACCCTAGGCTCTTGTCATGAGCTGCCAAGGCTATGGAAGCCCCCTGGGTTCACTGACTCTGATCATTTTTAGACAAGGCCATGGTCAAAGTGGAAGTTCTCTCCTCCCTTCAGAGAAAGGTACCTCTTTCTTTGATGACCCATTTTTTCCACTGGGATCTCACTCGTGGAGATCTTTCATTTAGGTTTTTTTTCCCCCAGAGTGTCTTGGCTTTCCATGCCTGAAATACTCTCATGGGCATTTCAGCCAGATCCGCATGCCTTAAGGGCTGATTATGAGGCCAGAGTGCTGTTAGGACATTTGCCATTCTATGGGTCTGCTGTGTATCTCACTTCCCATGTTGGACCATTCTCTCCCTTTTTGATTCTATCAGCTAGTATTTGCAGACACTATTCTTGTTTATGTGATCCCTGTGGTTCTTAGTCCTATCATTACGATCAATTGTGAACAGAAATTGATCACTGGGACTAGTGAGATGGCATTGGTACATGCCACCTCGATGGGATTGAATTCGAATCCCCTGGTATGTTTCTAACTCTACCGTTTGAGGTAAGTCAGCTTGAGCATGTCCCGAATTGCACATCTCTTCCCTCTCTTATTCCCACTCTTATATTCTTTTTTCTTTTCTTTTCTTTTCTTTTCTTTTTTTTGACAGGCAGAGTGGACAGTGAGAGAGAGAGAGAGAGAGAGGTCTTCCTTTTCCATTGGTTCACCCCCACAATGGCCGCTGTGGCCCGTGCACTGCGCTGATCAGAAGCCAGGAGCCAGGTGCTTCTCCTGGTCTCCCATGCAGGTGCAGGGCCCAAGCACTGGGGCCATCCTCCACTGCACTCCCGGGCCACAGCAGAGAGCTGGACTGGAAGAGGAGCAACCGGGACAAAACCCGGCGCCCCAACCAGGATTAGAACCTGGTGTGCCAGCGCCACAGGCGGAGGATTAGCCTAGTGAGCTGTGGCGCTGGCCAGAAAGAAATTTTTCTAAAAACCATGAAAGGTAGACATTTAGAGGAATGGCCTTCCCGTTATTATTTTTAAGAATTATGTTTATTTTCCTCCCATTTAAAAGGCAGAGAGACAGACAGACGTAGCTTGCATCTGCTGGTTCACTCCCCAAGTGCCTGCAGCAGCCTAGGCTGTGCCAAGCAGAGCTCTTAACTACTGTGCAAATGTCCACCCCTGTTTCCGCATTAAGGGGAGCCTTTTAGACCTGTGCATGTGGGCCATGTGAGGGCAACTAGCCGAAGGACACACACACACACACACACACACCCAGCAGTGAGTTGAAGCAGAGTCTGTCCTGTTTAGTCAGCTACCCGCTGGGGCCTGTCACAGAGACCCTGGGCTGCTCAGGGCGGCCTTCACAGGCAGGTTCTAGAAGTGACTTTGCTGCTGCTTCTCTCAGAAACGGAAGAGACATGTCCCCAGTACGCATTATGTATAACTCTTTGTTCAAGAGAACGTATTACTACAAAGCAGAAAAAGTGGCCCATGATTCCGTTCGATTCAAATTAATGAATCGACATGGAACCGCCATTGGCAGGAACTGGAGCAGGTGCAGAAGGAGGTACGAAGCTAATTCAGATGTGATCCTTGCCCCAGCAGAGTTTTAGAATGAGAGTTAAGCACTTGGTTAATAAGAAATGCTAATAACAAACAAGAGTGACCTAGAACAGGGCACATGAAAGCCCACGTACTCAGTGGTGGTTTGGATCCCTTGCTTCCATGTATCCAGATTTACCAACCAGTAAATCCTTTACCTTCTTGTCTGCACCTCTTCCTTTCCTGTTCTTATTCTGAGCTCTCGGCTGATTCAGTGGCAGTGTTAATTCTGGCATGGGACTTGTGGGTAGTGAAAACGTAGGAAGAAGTAACCCTTAAGTCCTTTGCAGTTTATAAACGCAAAAAAACATATACAACAAAAAAGTGTGTAATTCCCATGGTGATACACGTAAAGGCTTTGCCAAGGCTTGATCTCAGAGTAGTTGGACCCAACTCACAGCCCACTGTGAACACAATCAACCCATGATCTCATCACAGAGCATTCATGTCACTGAGGTCAGTTTTTTTAGATCCTAACAGGTGTTTG